TACTTACTTACTTACTTACTTACTTACTTACTTACTTACTTACTTACTTACTTACTTACTGACTTACTGACTTACTGACTTACTGACTTACTTACTTACTTACTTACTTACTTACTTACTGACTTACTGACTTACTTACTTACTTACTTACTTACAGAGGAGCCCAGAGGAGCCTCCTCACCCCTCCTCACCCCTCCTCACCCTCTCTTATTAACCCAATCTCCTGGCAGAAATCGTCTTCCTGCGCACGGCCGCGCCGGCCAGAGCCCCCCGCCTCCCCCAGGAGCCCGACGTTTACTTTGAGATCGCCTCCATGGACGAGCAGCAGTCCTTCGACGTGGTGAAGCGCTCCCACCGCGGAGTCGTTATCGGTGAGAGGACGAAATTCGTGGGATTTTGGTGTTAGCCAGCAGGGCTAACAGCTCTGAAAAGTTGTTAGCTAGCTGACCAAAAGCAGCCCGATTGGCTCTATTCTGTCACGTGGGATCAAGCAGACTGAATTTGAATATTGACGATGGATTTCAAACTAAAACTTCTTTTTTTTGTCGTTGATTCCCTGTTTATTTTGCATGTATTTAATATAAAACCTTCATTTACCAACCCGTCCTGCCCCATGGAGCGGAGCGCACGACCCAAAACGGACCCAAACTAACCCAATCTAGCCCAAAATGGACCCCCACGGGTCCAAAACTGACCAGAACTTACCCAAACCGGTCCAAAAGGGGGCTAAACCGGTCCAAAACAGTTTATTTTGCATCTATTTTATATAAAACCTTCATTTCCCAACCATTTACCATTTAACCCATGGAGCTGAAGTCTAAAATGTCCTTCTTCATTTTAGCTTCGATTGGCTTGTAATTTGATTCCAGCTGAACTTTTGGGAATAATGTCTCATAACAAATGCTTTCTGAGGCTTTTCTTGATGATTTTATCTAACATTTTTGACAGAAACACATCGAGAAAAGACATTAATGTGAGTTAGAAAGAACAAAATTGCCACTCCGATGATACTTCTTCTCAGAGTTTCACTTGATTGCTAAATTTCTTGAATAGGTGGCCTTATATGAAAGAAATGTGGTGGTGTTGTGGAATAGAAGGATGCTAATGATGGCTGGCTAACAGCTTTTGATTTCCTGTAAATGTCCCTCACAGGTGTGATCCGGCAGCTGAAGCCCGTGGTCGGCCCCCGGGAGCTGGTGCTGGAGGTCACCATGAACTACGTCCAGTCTGGGGTCATCTCCCAGAAAAACATCGTCATCATCCACGTCTTCATCTCCGAGTTCTGGTTCTGAAAACCCAACGACACACAATTGTGTTTAGATACCGTTTCAAACCCTGAGATGTTCCACATTCACAAAGTGTTTCAGTCTGAATTCACACAGACTCTTTTTAGCTCCAGACTCAGGTTTTTTTTCAGCCTCTGTGAGGCTGCTGACACACAGGATGCCGTTTCCTGGAAGAAAAAGACTCAGGATCACTTCTTTTAAGCTGTAAAATCTGTCTCTGCCTCTCTAAAAACTCTAAATGCTCTAAAATATCTGAGCTGAACATGAAATGCTCAAAATAGGTTGATATTCAGCAGCTGTTGCTGAACGTTCTGCAGGTTTTTTTAACCAGAAGTAGCTCTCAAATTCACTAATCTGCACTTTAGCCCCATCAAATATAGTTTCAAATGCTGCTGCAAAGCTGAAATATCCACTTTTTTAGGTGTTTTGTCATGTAAAGTTAAGGTACTTGACGTTTCTGTTACATTTTTAAACCATTATTTCATTAAAAAGTCACAGTTTGATGTTAATTATGTTAAACTAGAAGGTTTTTTAAAACATTTAATACCTGCATTCCCCTAAAAGTTTCCATGGAAAACATAAAACTGAGTGTGAATGAAAATGAAGATGTTTCATTTTGTTTCAGGATGATTTTAACCTATTTGATGAGCAATAATGCCAAATAACAACGTTTTGATACCAATAAAAGTTTAAAGTCTGAAATCTCCCTCTTGATTTTGGCTTCTGTTGGCTTGTAATTTGATCCCTTTTCACTTTTGGGAATAATGTGTCATAACAAACGCTTTATGAGGCATTTCTTGATGTTTTTATCTAACATTTTTCACAGAAATTCATCAAGAATAGACATTAATATGAGTTGGAACGAACAAAATTGCCACTCCGATGGAACTTCTTCTCCAAAGTCTCCGACAGAGTTTCGCTTGATTGCTAAATTTCTGGAATCGGTGGCTTTAAATGACAGAAATGCGGTGGTGTTGTGGAGCAGAAGGGTGCTAATGATGGCTGTTTTCACTGCACGCTTTGTTTAACGTGGGCTAGGTTTTGTTTGTACCGAATGCCACTATGATGTACGGCGCCTCGGGCCCTGGAACGGCTGGACTCTGCTCGGTTTCTTCTGTACTGACAGACAAGGTTTTACATACTCAGATTAATCCCAAAGCGCTGCATTTATGTGCTTGTTCTCAGTCCATCGGTTGTGTTGGGTACCAGAGGACGGTCCAACCATCTGTGAGTAATAAAAACGTTGTGTGGCTGATTGTGTTGGTGTGTTTTTGTCTGATCGCTCGCCAAAACGGACTAAACCAGCCATCCGAAAGTTAGCATAACTGAGGTTTCCCAAATAACTCAAAACTGATAGGATGTCCTGTTTTTCTTGTAACTCGGCTCCTCAGATTTCCCATAATTCTCCACCACGTCCAGATTGCGAGGTTGTTTCCAGTTATTCCTCTCAACCAATGAGTAATGGGATTTCTATAATGGGAATGTTTTCCTCTTCCAACGCCTCATCTTAAGGTTGACAAATTGCTCAAGTTGGGTGCTTCTTACCATCCGTAATCAGTGCTCTGGGATGATGGAAAACCAGGCTTCAAACCACACGGGGCCCTAATCTAAAGTTTGAAACATTTTGTTCTCAGACTGGCAGGAGATTAATGACTTTTTATGTAATATCAGATACATTTTGGGGCCTCATTTAATAGGGTACGTCCAGCCTTGAAGGATCTTTATGTGGCTCCAGCTTCACTTCCTGAATACATTGCTTCACTGTGATCCGGTCATTTAGCTTATTTACACATTTTAAAATCGTACGCAATTGTCAAAAATGAGCCTTTCTCATCCAGCTTGTCTTTTGGTTTTGTAGGATAACTTTTGTCCCAATAGAAAGGGTTTTTTAGAATACTTTTAGGCTCCAAAAATTGAAGGATGAGAAGAAAGAAAAGTTTATTTTTTACTTATGGGGACTGACAATTAGTGGAGAAAGTTATTTACATCCTACAGTGACATTGCAAATAAAACTTTTAACTTTACAGCATTCAGTACCACGTTTTCATTTGATGCACAAATATGGAAACACTCACAAAATGTAGAAATGTGGAGATTTTCTATCATGTATTTTCTGGAAAAAAAAGGATGGTTAATTGTATAAATTGCCAGATGTAACAAGTGAAGTTTTCAAAAAAAGTATAAAGTGGTATGAAAATACAGAATATTCTGGAATATCCTGTTTGGGTTAGAGTTAGAGTTAAATAAATCCCTAAATTTGAAGGCACTCTGTAATTTACCGCTTGAAAACAGCAGCACATGGTGTGACTCCGCCCCTTAATTGGGCTGAACCAATAGCGTGAGACTATCAAAACCGGAAGTCCCGCCCACTCGCATGATACAGGGAATAATGGCAGCTACCACCGAAAGAAACTTAGAAATGTCCGCCTCTATAACGGGCATTTTGAATGAGCAACACTGCCCTGAACATTTGCAAGTGTTGAAAACATTCACGGCCGCGTTGCGAGAGGAAAAATACAGGTTTGTACCGAGCTGTTTTCCGCTGGTTCGGGAGGAAATCAGCGAGTTAGCATGTTAGCTTAGCTAGCATTGGCCGGAGTCAGCTGCTCACCGTTAACTGTAACATGTTATCTCATCTCCTCCAGAGGAAAC